CGCCAGTTTCGTGAACCTCATGCAGCTGCGTGACCGTGGCGGAATGGCAACTGTTTTCACAGCCAACCAGCTCATCGGTGGACCGGAATCAACGGCAACGAGACCTGTGGTTCTTAAGCGTTCCGACAAGGACCAACCCGGGGCCTACCTCCGAGAGAGCCGCGTCCTTCAATATCTCAGTAGACCGGGGGGAGCAGCGGCAGGGTTTGTGGTCCAACTGCTGGAGGCCTACAGCACGCCCGAGCACAACTTCATCGCCATGGAACAAGGGGGTCAGAACCTCACGGCGCGGGTGGAGGAATCGAAAAGACTACCGCCTTCTGAGCGGAACACACACCTTGCGTTGTGGGGACAACAAGCCTGTCAGGTAGATGCGCTGGCGTTGAGAAGTGTTTGAACGCTATATCTCGCGGCTCATATGTGAGCGAGCGAGGTGGGGAACACGCATGTATTCTGCTACGGTAGTGATGAACACACGTTTACTCTTCGTGCCTTTGGACTATGCCAGGTGGTGGTGGCTCTGCACGGCCTTGGGGTCGTATGGGGCGACGTCAAGCCGGACAACTACGTCTTCCGTGGGGACCGTCTGGTTGCGGTGGACTTCGGATCCACCTGTGTTGAGGTCGGATCGATTGCCCAGCGAGAGCTAGGAGCCGCTGCTGACACTTCGTTCACGTCGAGACCGAGCGATCAGTTTGCCTGGTCGGTTCAATATGGAGCACCAGAGAGGGCGAGAGCGGACCGGCAGGGTGTACCTTGCGTGGCTCGTCGCAGCCAGGTGTGTTTCGTTGCGAAACATACAGGTGGAACGGTAAATACGAAGATGGCCCCTTGTTGTTCGCCGCCTTTTCACTCGATGCTTCCTTTTCCACTGTCAAGCGAGTTGATGATGACCGACGACGCGGACGTGCGCACGTCGACCCTACTCCATCTCCCGCCTGAAGCGCTCGAAACGTTCTCGGACGTTTTGCTGTGTTTTGTCGATGTCCCATACTATCAGGTTGGCGCCAGTTGTCCCGCGGTCGCATAGATCCACCCAATCGAAGCTTAGTGGAGGCCAAAACGAAATGGGCAATCTCTTGGGGAGAATTCGGCCGACCGCATGCATTGGACTTTCACCAGTGAATGCAAGAGTTTGTCACCTTGTCCTCCACAGCTCGACAACGTTTACTCCGAGGACTTCGTGCTCCCGATGTAGCTCTGTACCCACTCATCGCAATAGGCGTATGGCAATCGAATCGTCCTGCTTGCCGCCCTAATCTTCTCGTCAGGACGTGTGGTCGCTTGGGATGGTGCTGTACTACTTGTCGACAGGAGGTACGCCCTACTTCCCATCGCCGGTGGAGCGGACGGAAGTATCCATCGCCCAGCTCCGTGAGCAAGCACAGCAGACCCTTGTCGAAGACAACTTTCGTGTCGATCTTGGAAGCGTTCGTGGATCGGCGTGGCGGTGCTCCCTCGGGCTTGCCCTGGAAAGGATCGTCGACGAGCGCGGGACAGCAGGCGAAGTGCTGGAAGCGTTCACGCGAGGGATCCAGGGGCTCGTTTCAACAGTCAGTAAGACTAGAGGGATGGAGTCCCTCAAGCGAATGCTCGCGGTGATGTCTGAAGACCAGCAGGAGGTACTTAGGCGAACAGGAACCATTTCCGGCAACGTCGGGCGCGTGTTGCAAGAGCAGCTCGATCTTCGACGCCGAGTCGCAGCGATGTCTACCGTGCTAGAGCATGTGGCGATGGACGAGATGAGAATGCCACACACGTTCTTGGTCCTTCCCGAGGAGCAGCGAAAGCTTCGTCGACCAAAGCAATGGTTCGCCGACAGGGGAAGACTGCACTTCGTGTGTGCCCACGGGTTAGAGTTGGTGCCTTGCGGAAAGGATGGTGCTGGCTTCCTTGTGGCTCAACCAAAGGTGACTGACTGGCTCGCATCGGATGTATTAGATGTTGCTGGTGGCCTGCATGTTCGCGGGACCCCACGCGGATTTGAGTGAGACAAGTGGGACTCTGGTAGGCGGGTCGACGATATCCGTTATTCTGCCCGTTGCGTGTAGGTTGTACGTTTCTCAGGCTAGCTCCGCGTGGCGCAACAGAGCGCTTCAAACACGGTTTCCCCATCAAGAATTTTGACACGTTCCCCTGACGTCACATTGCAACAGGAGTGGATGAAAAAGCACGCAACGCTCTTGCGAGTTTCTGTGATGGCCATCCTTGCGGCTTCCGCTGTGGTTGGAAACTCCGCTTCGGGAGGAGCAATGGGACCCATCGCCGCTTCGTTGATGCTGCCGTTCGAGGTGATCGACCTGGATGAGGCATACAGCTTTCTGTCCGGCGTTGGGGGCGAGGCAATGGACCATATGCTTGACGACGTCAGCGATGTCCTCGACCCTACCAAGGGCGAGGCGGGCGCGCCCACCAACCTCGAACGGGTGAAGGAGGTCACGGGTGCGGAATACCGTTCTGTGTTGGACTTCTTGGACACGAGGTGTCCAGGATGGGATCGACAGATGGGGGGAATGGAGCGAACTTTCTCCGCCGACGGCGTCATGGGGTGAGCATGGCACTCGTGTTTGTCGTCGTTTTGAGTTTGATCTAGCAGCACACAATATACAGGCGGCGCCGAGCCTTTGCTTGTCAACCTTCTGTTCTGGTGTCCTACCTCATGTTGCAGGCTGCGCTCTCTCCCAACATGTTCTTCAATCGTATCCTACCCTTTTTGTGTGCGCTTTTCGACCTCGTTCTTGACCCTCCCCTTCCGAACAATGCCCTTTTGCCACCCGAAACAGGTGGGTCTGCCCTCAACATATGTCAGAGTGGAAGGCGAGTAACGTCAAGAGTACCAGCGCGACCGCAAGGCGGGCAAGCAGCAGCGCCCGTAGCCCAGTTAGGCCGATGGCCCCGGAACCACGCGAACCACCTGCAGCTTCACGTTGCAGTTGTGTGATCACTTGATCCGTTGTGCTAGTGTTAAAACATGGGGGGGAGAACAGGGAGAGGGCATCCCGTTCCGTTGTACTCTTAACAAATTTAAGCTTATTATCTACATATGGCAAGACTAACCCGTCTAGGTTGGGTCTTGGGAGACGCTTCCTTGCATGTGCCGCCAGGCTTACCCGTTTTCCATGCGATTATGGTCATCCTCTCAACAAGCGCCTTGTACTTCCTTACATGTTTTCCGACGCTGTCGGCGCCTTTTGCTAATCCTTTCGGTTTCCCGTTTTTTGCGTTATTCGGCGGTATCGCCGCTCCAGTGCACGGGTTCTTAATGTTTTTCCCTACATGTTTTCTCTCGTATATGTAACGTGTTTCCTTGTGAGTTCATCCCAAATCTGGTAGGTTTGAGCATGTGGTGGCCTATACCTTGCTCGGGAGCGGAATTGCCTCCCAATGCAATCAGTTTTGTCCAATATTGGCCGTTGTCTTAGGTACTCGAGTTGCTTTGAATTTGTTGCTTTTGTCAGACAGGTCAGATACCTTTCTCCGTTCTGGGCGAGCTACTCCGCTGAACACAGCAATTCGATTGATTCTGGTCGTGAGGTGTCGATCACCCTGTAATGACATCCATTATTGAAAGCTTTACGCGGGTTGTGGTGCGCTCGAAGTCAGGTCCGTTGATGAACCTGTATGGGCGGGCAGGAAATACTGACGTACAGTTATGCTCGGCCGTTTTCTGTTTTCCTATAGAATACCGCTTGCACATTTCCCTGGTTCCGGCACGGCCGTTAAGATCGGAGAAGGTGGCTGCAGGCGTTGTTGGCTCGTCATTTTCGCGCCTTCACCGTCTGGGGAAACATTTGAGGCAGCGGGGGTCTGTGAGGGTAAATTCGCTTCTCTTCTCGGCGTTGAAGTTGCCCGCAGGGCTCCACCAATACACGGCTGAGGCCGGTTCAAGTCCGGTGACTGGTGGAGAGGAAACAACCGACACCAGCTTGGTCGCGTGTGATCCGATAGAATCGGTCATCATCGAGGCACCTCTGCCTGAGGTAGACTTGAGGGTTTTATCCCCAAGGGTGGGCTTAGTGACATGCTTGCATCGCGTCGATCAGCGATTGAGGTCCTTCCGGTCAGTCGTCTGTTTTTTTCTTGAATATGAGCTGTTTCCGCCGCGTGACGCAAGATATCATTACCCAGGTCTGATGGTATCGACATTATTTCAGCGATGCGACAGCGGTGACTTCATCGTCGTGCACGAATCCAAAAATGTTGCCGAGATTTCTCTCTCGTCCTTTCGTTCGTTCATGTCACTTTCAGTGTGTGCGTTCCCTTCCATTGACGGGTCTCTCGTCACCCCCCCGTTCATGCGGTCTTGACTTGCACCGGCCACCTTTTGGGGCTCTCTGTTCTCTTCGGTATGCGCGTTGGTACACCACATATAAATGTCCGGGTTCTTGTTCCCAGACCACATCGAACTGAGCACGTGTTCTTACGGCCAAGTTCTTAGATTTTTCAATTTTTGTCGAGGCCGCATTTCTTGACTACTAAAGCGCAATCTCGTGACGTTTGTCAGCGTTGCTTGGGTCTTTTTTGGCGCGTAATCGCCAACCAACGGGGGTATTTCCTCAACAAACGCCCGTCTGTCTCATTGCGGATATCTGATCATTAGTGTGTGTTGCCATTCGCCTTACTCCCTATTCTGCGCGCCAGTCTATACCTACGGATACGTGTATGGTTGGCTAACCAGCCGGGAGTCAGACAGTATGTATGGTATGGGCACTCTTCGCGTCACAATTAGAGGGTAGGTTGGACAATTGTCTCTGACCGGCTGTGAGAGGGCCTGTCCTGGTGGCTGACTTCCGCAGCATGACTTCAGCTTGGGACTCAACGCACCTTCGCGAATTAAACGTCGAAAACATTGAATCCGAATCCGCATCGGTGCGCCATTTTTTGTTCCGCAAAGCGCACAAAGATTCTCTCCTAGTCGCCCTCTCATTCCTTGACAAGCCAATCCTCATCGCCGGCTCCCTCGCTACAACGTGCTTGCTAAACGACGACAACCGGGTCCCTTATCGTCGACAACGTCCGCCGCCTCCGCCCCTACCACCGCCCTCGCCTCTTCCCCTCCCCTCCCCTCTCCCACCAAAACGCCCACCACCACCTCGCCCCTGCCCCGTGCCTCTGCCGCCACCCCGCCCCCCCCTCATACCGCCCCTACTGCTATCTCGTCCACCGCGCCCCCCTCCATTCCTTGAGGCGCCAGGGCCGGATATGCCTATGCCCCCCATTCGCATGCGCTTGGTCCCTCCTCGGAGCTTGGCCGACTCTTCCACCTTTCTCCGCTTCTGGATCTGCCAAGAAGTTGGTTCGGAGGGACGGCGGGGCGAGTGGGTAAGAGAGGCATGTGTGGTGATCAGAAAGTTGGCCTTGTGGGTTCAGTCTTGAGATGATGCGAGCCAGAGAGGTAAAGAATGCCTATGACTCGCAGCGAGCTCGAGCACAAGGAGCAGAGAGGCATTCATACGTCCATTTTACTTCCCCAAGAATGTGGCGCCGATTGCTCTCCGCTACCAAACAGTTATCGTCCTCTTGTAGATCTTGGCATGTCCCTCTCTTTCTGTCGTCAGTCACGATCGTCCTTCTGTTGCACCACACTCAACAAGACAAAGCGAGCATCGATGTGGGCACGCGCACATCTCCACAACTCGTGAAACTTAATCGTATTTTAGAGGAAGTTTGTTTACACATCAGGCGGCGCACGCTGTTTATTGAACCGGTCGAACTTGCGAGAGGTGTTTTATGTTGTTGCATCTTGGGGTATCAGATCTGGGGGACCCCGATGGAGTGGTCACTTTCTCGGAGAGCTAACGTACCAGTCGTCAAGTTTGCGTCTCGAATCGTCGAACATCCATGTGGGCACGCGCACGTCTCCACAAGGTAGTAGCAGAAACGTCAAATTTGCCACAGGCGTTTATGTTCCCGTATGTCGGGGGCATCATATCTGGAGTAACCCTTTGGAGTGGTCGCTTCTCTCGGAGAGCTAACGACAACTTCGCGTTTTCAACCCTCGAACTCTGTCCTGTGATAGCTCACCTTCCCGGCTTCTGTGCGTTCCCTTCGCCGCTCTGCCGCCGCAGCCGGATCCGTGGCCTTCTCCACCGCACGCTGCCGCTTTCGCTCCACCCGCTTCCGAGAGATCTCCATGTTGACTCCCGTCAAGGCCTCGAGGAAGCGGCCGCTGCCAACCTTCTCCTCCAGGAGTTCCATCACCTTGGGGTGAGGCGGCAAAACGATGGGGGGGTGCGTACTCTCACGTTTTGCATGCATTAGCGGTTACCGTATACGACACAAGATAACACACCCCCTGGACCGAGTTTCAAAGCTAGACTTCTCAACAGCAAAAAGAGTCACAGCGCCAAAAACGGTGGCGCTGAAGCCGTCTCGACGAGAGCTTTCCCGAAAACGTATCGTTTCGTTTGTGCATCTTCTTCGTCGTCGAGTACGCGAGCTCTGAAAATCAGTCCAGGGAGTGCGTTATCTTGAGTCGTATACGGTAGACCATTGATCACGCGTCGTCGACAGGACGAGACGGGGGACGGCGGCGGAGCGGCCAAACGGGCGGGAACACACGTCGAAGAGGGGAACAACGGAAAGCAAGTCTCGCCGCTTGGACCACCCGGCAGTGACAACGCCAATATAGCTGCACCTTTCGAAAGACGCTCTGGCGATCGGAAAGTGGCAACGCAACAGCTGTCTGCACCTTCTGACAACCACTCTCTAGTACCTGCTCCGTTTGAGCGCCACTCTCCACTCACCTCCGTCGCTAGCTCCGCAGCAGTTTGCTCCTTCTCAGCAGCTGCGCTCCCTCCCCCGCCACCGCTACCGCCACCGCCGGCATGAGACCCCCCAGCCTTGTGCTCCACCCCGCCCGCCTCGGCGTCTAACACCGCTCTCCGCAGCGGCAGAAGCATGAGCTTCAGGTGGGCCACGGAAACGGCGGGGTCGTGGACGGCCACCATCGCCAGGAACCAGCTGAACACCGCTCGCCTCCGTGCCTCTCCCTTGTGCACCACCATGTGGGACATGCGGTTGAACACCCATCTCAACGGGTCTGCGGCACCGGACGTGGTAGCCTTACCGCCGCCGGCAGCAGAAGAATCGGCAGAATCGGCGGCGGTGGCGGCGACGTCATCTCCGCCGTCATCATCAACCCCCTCGCTGTCGCTTGCTTCTTCCATCGCCGGGCTTTCCGTCCCAGAAGCGTTTTCTTCTTCGCCGGCGTCCTCGGCGAAGCACAGCTCCGGGTTGAGGTGCATCGCACGGCCGATAAACACCAGGTTCTTGACGCACTGGTCCGTCAGTTTCGGGTCCACCTGTGCAAGGTGGGGAATTGAGAGATGAAAATAAATCAGCCAAGAGCAAATTTCCTGGAAAGCTCCACCGGAAAAAACTCGATACTGGCGTCCTTGTACAAAATGAAGCAAAAATGAGTTGGGAAATGAGAGATGAAACTGAAGCAACCGAGAGGAATTTTCTTCCCCCAACAAACTACTTCTTGCGTCCCTTGTGCACACGATGACTCTCTTTTGAGATTATGGGAGAGTTTTGAGCATCACGCGAACGGTCCACGCCTGATTTGCCCTTCTGAAACGCCCTGGGACGACAAATTAGCCTCACACGAGATGTTTTCTCTCTCTGCCCCCCCCCTCCCTCCTTGGTCTCCAATAGTACTTTTCTCAAAAGTGTAGATATAGGTGACCATCATTCCATCAACATCCCGGCGTCTGCTCCACCGAACGCAGACACGACCACGGCAAACACACCGGGTGGAGCTGGGGAGGGGGGGCGGAGCAGCAACATACATCTTAGCGGGCACACACACGCCTATGACACGAAAGCGTTCACGCCCTCCCCCCCGCGACAGCAGCAGCACTCTCATCTACTGCCTCCCTGTGACACGCACCTGCGACCTGTTGAGCTGAGAGCACAGGTTCTGGCACAGGCGGAACAGGACACGTCTCCTTCGAAGCGAACTCCTGCCCCCCGTCGCCTACCCCAGCTCCCTCCCCGGCAACATCACCCCGCCGCTGGCCTCGGCCTTTCCCTTTCAACTTCCCGGGTGTTGAGCCACCTTGGACTCGCTTCGGTGTCTGGCTTCCCTCTACTTGGCCGCCGCCACCGCCGGTGTTTACGGCCAGGGTCCCTGGATCCCTCTTCGAGAAGAACGATCCCCAAACGCGGGCGGCCGCGAGGCGCACCCAGGCATGCGGGTACAGCAACACCTCCAGTAGCCGATCGAACAGCCCATCATCTTCATCGCCGCCACCGCCGCCGACGCCGCTGAGGGCGGTGTTGCACGCCCCCGGTAGGGCGTCGAAAGCCTTCCCTATGGACAGGACGGCGTGGTAAACGCCTTCCCATTCACCATCCGCTCCGCCGCCGCCGCCGCAAGACCCCGCGGCGGCGCCAACTGAACCGCCGGCGTCCCCCCAGCCCGCGCTCCTGGCCGCGGCAATGACTTCGGCGGCTCGCCGCGGGAGCATCAAGGACAGCGCCGACAGCATCCAAGGCAACCGGCCCCCGCCGCCGGTCCCCGCCGCCTTCCGCACGAGCTCCGGCCTCGCCTGTACGAAAATCCCGCAGGCCTGAGCGGCCGTTCGCCGGAGCCCGGGGTCTTCTTCCCCCCCCCCCGCCCCCGACGGGGCCCCCGCATCCTTCTCCCCGAACCACTGCCCCGTGAACTCCAAGAGCTCCTGGAACACAGCGGGGGACACGCGGTCAAGAAGGGTCCGGACGGCGGTGGACGCGGCGGCGCGGCACTCCCCCGCTTGGTCGCTGACCAGGCGAACCACCAGGGCGAGGTAGAAGACGCTGGAGAGCTGGTCGAGGTTGGGCTCCGGGAGCCGTCGGAGGAGCTGGGAGCACAGGTTGAGTGCCGCGAGGCGCCCCTCGGCGTGCTCGTAGGAGACCCCGCTGACGATCTGATTGGTCGGGACAAATTGAAGCAGGGGGGGTGGGGTGTACTCATGTTTCAGAACGATGCTGTAGTTGCTAGACCATTGGCCACGCGTCCTCGAGAGGAGCAGTGTTCCTACAGGACCGATCACCGATGGCCAATCGTTCCTTGCTACTTTGCCAAAGGAGGCTCAAAAAAGTGTTTTAAACTATCTATCTAGTAGGAACAATGTTCTTGAGCGCGCGGGGGGTTGACAGGGCAAAGCGAGGGAGAGAACTTTGTGCAAGCAACGGAGAAGGTAAACGGGCGGCAAAAAGGCCATGACAGTCGTCTTCTTGGGGCATATCAAAAGCTGTCACACGTAGTGTTGAGGACAACCAGAGGGCAAGAAACGCTTCAGAACAAGGTATACAACGCAGCTCGAAGAAGAAACTTCGCTCAAACAGCCGTAGCAGCCTCACCCTCGGCGTTAAATATGAAGCCACCCCCGTGTGCGCTACATATCGAGACATCGTCCTCGAAACAAAAACTAAACATTTTGTCTACCAGGTACACGTTTGTTGTCTCTCGACTTGATCGCTCCGTTCAAGCACCCCACTAAAAAGTCTCAACATTTCCTGCAGACAACAGCAGGGGCACGGCATACAGCACCCGTGGCTCCTCCAACCCGGCCCCCCCGCACGCAAAGTCAACCAATCACCGACGGACCTGGTTGAGGTGAAACTGCAGCCGTTTCTCCCCCAGGGGGTAGTGCAGGAGGAAGGTCAGGAAGGTCTGGCCGGAGGTGGCGCGCAGCGTCGGTCGGTGGCTCGTGACCGCTAGTTCGGCAAGCTTGGTCATGAGGTCGTACACCTGCCGTCGGTCACATACAGCAGCGGTAGTGCGGGCCCGCGCAGTTAAGGAAACATATGCCAGACAAAAAAGGCTCGACAGTCCGTAGGGCGCAGCAAAACACGTTTGCTTTCACCGTTACAACAGTCAGCAGGACGCAGCAAAACACGTAAAACTTTAGCCGTACAGAAATACCGTCGGTTGCAAAAGGTAACACGCACTGGACCAATTTTCAAAGCCAGCTTACGCTGCAGCAGCAACAGCAGTGACGGTGCCGCCAAAAATGGCGGGATGCGTTGGAACCGTCTTGCCCAGAACTCTCCGACAACACATTACTCGATTGTGGCAGCATCCTCTCTCTTCGTCGTGGAGGAATCGAGCTCTGCAAACCGGGCAGTCCGGGGTGTGTGGTATCTTGCGTCACCTACGTTAGCTCAACTGCTGCGCATCACATTACATGATGAGACGCCTCACGCAACACCAACACCGATATCGGGCAGCATGGCTCTTCAGGCAACTACTCGAGCTTTGAAATTCAGTTCATGGGGTGTGGCAACTTACACAACCTACGGTAGACAGCTCGAACTTCTATCGTGATGGATGTGGTGCCAAACGAGGAGATTGGGGGCTTTTCTCTGCCGTGTCCGCGCGGTCCTGTATTCGAGCCCATGACCGCCCAACCTACTACTTCCAGCCCTATCGACGTGCCTCAGAAGAGAATAAAACTAACACGGACCTCTGGAAGCATGACTCTCCGGGCAACCACGGCCTTGATCAGCGTGAAGGTGGCGATCTGGTGCTCTGTCTCCGCCACCGCCATCTGCAACACCACCAGGAGGGCCCTCAGCCGCTTCGGCGCCAGGCCAAACAACCCCCCCCCCCTCCCCTTCCGCCGCCCGGCCTCCTCACCAGGGACCCCAAACACCTGCACCTGGCTCTTGAACAGCATCGACAGAGCCTTGAAGCACGCCTGGCCCATCTCTCCTCTGATACCGCCGACCCCTCCCCTCACAAGTCGGGCGAGCACGTGCCTCCCCACGAGGGGAGCGCAACGCTTCATCGACGGCAGGTCCCAGTGGAGCAGGTAGCCCAGGCTCTTTAGGGAGAGGAGGACCACCGGGGTGTGCGGGTTCTTACCGATGCACCTACAGTTTTTTCCGTGCACGCGCCGGCGGCGGGGACGGGAGGGTGACGGGAGGGGCATACTCATGTTTTGCATGCGTTAGCGGTTAGACCATTGACCACGCGTCCTCGAGATGGGTGTGGGAGTTCATAGCGATGCACATGGATTATGTGTTTTGTGTATGCACGCGGGCGGGTATGTGCAGGCGGGCGGGCGATGAGGAGGAGAGGGGGTCAGGTCAGCAGCGGCGCAACAAAAACGAGGGGGGGGGGGGGGGGGTGACAGGGATTCCGGGCCCCCCTGG